CTCGTCAGCTGGGGGGTCCGAGGAGCCCGTCCAGCAACCTTCCTCGTTGCTGGACACGTTTTGTTCTGTGTGTTCCAGGGGCCCCTGTGCCCACTGGTCCTGAGACTGTTTTCGCTGGAGGGCCCGAGGAGCCCGTCCAGCCTCCTGCTTTGCCAGCTGGGGGGCCCAAGGAGCCTGTCCAGCCTCCTGCTTCGCCAGCTGGGGGGCCCGAGGAGCCTGTCCAGCGACCTTCCTCGTCAGCTGGGGGGCCCGAGGAGCCCGTCCAGCCACCAGCTGCTCCACCAGCAGCCTCATCCACACCCGCAGCAGCAGCCGCATCCACAGTTTCGTCCACACTGCCTGCTGCAGCGCCTCCGTCTCTGGATTCCACGCCACCGCCAGCTGCAGCCTCTGTGTCTTCATCCTCGCCAGCTGCAGCCTCTGTGTCTCCACCCACGCAGTCGCCTGGTCCAGCTTCAGGTCCACCCACGCCGTCGCCGGGTCCAGCTTCAGGTCCACCCACGCCGTCGCCGGGTCCAGCTTCAGCATCCTCTTCGGCATCCTCATCAGCGTCCCCTGGTCCAGCCTCTGCTTCAGCTTCATCCTCATCTGCCTCGCCTGGTCCAGCCCCCGCATCAGCTCCAGCATCCCCTGCAGTGGCCTCCTCTTCAGCGTCACCAGTTTCGTTTGGCCCAGCCTCCGCCTCTGCTTCTGCCACCTCTGTTCCAGCCTCCGCCTCGGCTTCTGCCACGTCTGTTCCAGCCTCCGCCTCGGCTTCTGCCTCGTCTGGTCCAGCCTCCGCCTCGCCTGGTGCCGCAGGGATCACGCCACCTTCAGCTCCCAAACTACCGCCTCAACATCATCAAACATTTGTCAGGCCGCTTGTTGGGCATCGTCACCACCGTGGCTGCCCTCCAGACTTCTGTTGCCACCCCCGCCTTCTGCGAGGACGACCTCCTACACGCCGCCATTGCCGTCCGCACGGTCGGTCCCCGGAACTGTTTCCATGCCACTACCTACTGCGTGGGCGGCCTCCGGACCTGCCCCACTGCCGCTGCCATTCGCATGGTCGGCCTCCGGAACTGAACTGTTTTGGCCTCCTGTGCTGTCGGCCCCCTGAACTTGTCCGTCTGGGCCTTTTTGGACTATGGACTATACAAAAATATAATTTGAATTGGAGAGCAACAAGAATGAAATATCTTGGGGTTGACTTATCACAAAACGCTGAGGATTAATATAAACATAATTACGATAAATTAGATAAGGAAATCAAGAGTGATTTGGATTGGTGGGCTACCCTTCCATAAGACATTGGTTCTCAAATAGAGACCATAAAAGTAAGTGTCCTACCCCGACTTCTCTACCTTTTTCAGTCGCTACCCATTGACATACCTGAAAAACAATTCAGATTATGGGACAAAATCATTTCCACGTTTATATGGAATGGTCACAGACCAAGAATCAAATTTGATACATTACAGATAAGAAAGGATAAGGGGTGTTTGGCACTCCCAAACCTTGAGGCATACTTTCATGCTGCACAAATCAGGCATATAAATTGTTGGTGTGACAATGATTATGAAGCCAAATAGAAGAATCTAGAAAAATCAGTACAAGGAAGAGAAATCCAAAGCCTTATAGGAGACAGAGAAGAAGCAATGAGTGTAATTAAACAGCTGCATTTATTCACTCAGTTTACACTAAAAATATGGTTTAATCTGGTACGAAAATACAAACTGGAAAAAGAGTTCTGACTGCTTTGATGGATAGCTTATGATAAGGGTTTTATCCCTGGTTCTATGGACCAAAGATTTAAACAGTGGATTCCTAATGGATTAACAGTGACATGTACACTAATTAAAGATGGGAATGCAATGAACTTCCAGGAGATTAAACAAAATATGATCTAAGCAATCAAGATCACTACAGATATTTGCATATTAGGGACTTTTTTAATAAAGAAGTAAAACATAGTGTAAATCTGGATAAAAATTCAATAATCAAAACTAGAGATGGACCGATCCGATATTACGTATCGGTATCGGTCCGATACTGACCTAAATTACTGGATCGGATATCGGAGAAAAATAAAAAATGTAATCCGATCCATTAAATATCACGAAAGCACCTCACAAAACTTGCAACACGCTGTAACTCACCTCAGAACATTAGCACGTCGGAGCAGTATGCATCACGTGATAGAGCGGCTGTGGCATGCGGGACCTGTCGGTGGTCTGGATAGCATGTGGAGCTTCGCTAGCAAACCCGCATTTCATCTCCGACAAAGTTATCCCGAGAGAAGTAAAGCAAGTGTGTAAGTCCATCTCTGAATGTTTGTAAAGCATTCCTGCGTTAAGCTTAACGAGTGACTGCCTCTCGCTCTCCGGCTGCTACTTCAATCATGAAACTGCTTAATGATCAGCTGATCGGCTTTTCTGTCGCGAGTCCGTGTCTCTTGTTTGCTTTTGGCCCACTTTGCACCAGACAGAGGAAACCAGCGGCTGAACAACAGCAGCACGTTTAAGCTTGATCAGCTGTTGTTAGAATTTATTTATTATTACTTTCTACACCAGGATCTTTTTCTACGTAGCTGACGGCTGGTAACTGTGCAGGGGCGGATCTAGCAAAGTTTAGCCAGGGGGGCCGATAGGGCATTAACAGGGAAAAGAGGGCACAAAGACATACTATTCTTTCTTATTCTCATTTAAAATGTCGAGCTTTTAATTATTTAATATTTATCTGAATCTTACACCCAAAGTTTTAATCTGATGTAAAATGTATAGAAGTCCATTATTGTATATAGTAACTGTTAAGTCTAATATACCCTAGTAAGCTATAGTACTTTTTCCTTTGGGAAGGTACCATCTGTGCAGTCTGCAATTTTGTTGAAGAAAGATGTTGAATCTATTTAATATTTCTTGAAAAATAATTGATCTCTGTGTATTGTTTTTTCACACTGCATCAAATTAAGGTTGATTACGTCGATTAAGCATCATGAGGTGGAGCGTGAGGGGTGGTTCCCTATTTTTTATTTATTTATTTTTGTTGTTGCTGGGAGTTGGAACCCTATTAGTTAGGTTGCTTAATATTTATGCTAAGTACTCTTTAAAATACCAGAATAGGGAGGATGGTGTAGGTTTAAGTTTATTAGATTGATCAGTATTGCTGAACTATGAAATATTTTTTTTTGCATACAGGTATAACAGAATAGCTTTAGTGTAGTTGTTGTTTTAAACTTGAGTATGAACTTATACAAAATGCAGCAATATATTTAAAAAACAGTTTTGTTGATTAAAAAACACTATATCGGATTCATATCGGTATCGGCAGATATCCAAATTTATGATATCGGTATCGGTATCGGACATAAAAAAGTGGTATCGTGCCATCTCTAATCAAAACCATAACTGAAACCTACAATGCAAAAAATTTTAGAATAATCTCAACAATTTACGAGCATATAACGGAGGCAAGAGGGTGTACAATAACATCTGTAAAACTGATGTGGCAGAGAAAGTTGGGAGGGAACACATCCGATGAGGAATGGTCAGAAATCTGGAAAACACAGCAGTCAACAACATCATCACGTGTCTGGAGATTGCATTACTGGAAAAATGTAATAAGATTTTTTATAACACCCAAAATTAGGAACAAACACACTTCATTACCACAACCGTGTTGGAGAAGCTGTAGAGATGTAAATGTGACTCATTCCCATGTGTTCTGGTTCTGCCCCAAGATCGCAAAATTTTGTGAAGATGTCCATTTAGTTATAAGTAAAATTCTGGGTTATACTGTGTCCAAGTCTTGTATATTATTATATCTTGGTGTCATTACGGGAAATGTGTTGAAAGAAAATAGATACATATTGAAAATTATGCTTGCAGCCTGTAAAAAGGCTATCACAAGAAATTGGTACAAGATAGACCCACCATCGCAGGATGAATGGATCAAAATTATAGACGAAATACAAATTATGGAACAACTGACTTACAGAATAAGGACTCAGGAAGATCAATATCATCGAAAGTGGGAGAAATGGACTGATTACATAAACTGGATAAAGACCATCACATTGATAATGAAAAACGATCAAATTGTAGAAACATGGTGACCCAACATGTTCTTTTTTCACTTTTTAAATTAATTTATTAATTTATTTCTTTATTTTATTTAATTTTGTTTTGTTTTGTTGTTACCTCTTATGTCATCTGTGTAATGTTTAAAGAAAAACAATAAAAAGAAAGTAGTAAAAAAAAAAGAAGAGGAGCTTAATAAGTAACACGGTCATTGTTAATACAGTTAAAACAGCAACTACAAAGCAAAACAAGGCAAGTTAGCATGTCAGCTATTAGTTTATTTATTCATTATCATGAAAAAGTAATTAACCATAACAGCTGGAGTCAAATAATCAGCCACACTGCTGGTGACAAATATAAACAAACAACATATATATATGAAAATAAACACAACATATAGACTTTTACTCATGTTAATATTATTAGTAAAGCATTAACACTTTATTGTTGCCCTCGTGGAATATTTGATATGTTTAAGATTTATTAATGATTACTGAATGATTTACAATTTTTGGCAGTTTGTAAAACAGCTTTTAACATTACTTGAACTAAAACCTTTAAATTTTTCTTAGATTCATAAAACTGTAACCATTAATTCACAAACTTCATAGTCTTTAAAAATAGTTAATCTTGAGATAAAATAGCATGTCAACAGAAAAGGGTTTAAAATGCAAAGATGTCCCCACATATTTATGTGCTGATATTAGGGATATTAGTGTGTGTGAATGTGAGCGTGAATGAATAGTGGTATTGTAAAGCGCTTTGAGGGGTCTCAAAAAGCGCTATATAAATGCAATCCATTATTATTATATTAGAGGTTAACAATCAGTGAGTTTGAAGTAAAGTGGTGAGGAGATAATCATGCAAAGCAAAATCACATCACAACATATCAATCCCAGAATATGTGATTCAAAGCAAACAAAAAAGAAACATCATCCACATTCAGCTTTCATACCACCGACTTGTAGTTTCTGCCTCTTCTAAACAGTCAAGCTCTACAGACTTGTTAGTACACAAAGGACTCAGAAACACAGAGGAGTCACTGGACCACAGTCCAAACCCAGGATACAGAGGTTCAGTGAATGTGGTGCTGAAGGTGTGGAGGTGGAACAGAGTGTCAGAAGAGACTCCGTAGAAGGACAGAGTGCCAGCAGGACAGTCCACATACACCCCTACTCTGTGAGAGACTGAGGAGGAGGAGAAGATGGGTGTTTCTCTATTGTTGTGCCAGAATGAGTAACCAAAAGCGTCAGAACACATCAGACTCCAGGACTGATCATTTCCCGCAAATTTGCATTCGGCACTGTTTCCTCTCCTTCTGATGCTTTTGTAACTCACTGATATAAAACTGCCTCCTTTCCACTCAACTTCCCAGTAAGAGCGACCAATCAGCCCATTTTTACACAGAAGCTGTTTCCACCAGTCAAATCTGTCTGGATGATCAGGATAGGGCTGCTTGTTCTCCACAACGGTCACCTTCATGTTGTTGTCAGACAGTTTGAGTTTTTTATTTATTGAAGTCATGTCCACTTTTAATTCACAGAAATCTGATGGAGAGAGAAACACACAGCAGAGATACAGTTTATCATCTGACACATCTAGTGTCTGTTCTTTCATTATGTTCTGTCATTTTATTTATATAAAACTTAATATCACTGTCATCCCTCGCACATACAAGGTCTTAAATAATCAGGCCCCATATTATCTTAATGACGTTATAATGGATTGGATTTATATAGCGCTTTTCAAGGCACCCAAACCGCTTTACAATGCCACTATTCATTCACTCTCGCATTCACACACTGGTGGAGGCAAGCTACGGTTGTAGCCACAGCTGCCCTGGGGGAGACTGACAGAAGCAAGGCTGCCATATCGTGCCATTGGCCCCTCTGGCCAACAGTAAAGTGTCTTGCCCAGGGACACAATAACCAGGACAGAGAGCCGGCGACCTTCCGGTTACAGATGCGCTTCCTAACCCGGTGAGCCACGGTCGGTTATAGTACCATATCACCCTATTAGAGTACTTCGCTCTCACACCGCAGATTCACTTGTTGTTCCTAGAGTATTTAAAAGTAGGATGGGAGGGAGGGCCTTCAGTTTTCAGGCCCCTCTTCTGTGGAACCAGCTTCCAGTTTGGATTCAGGAGACATACACCTCACCAGCTCAGCGACTAGAGCCTGAACTTCAACAGGTAGCAGCCTCCATTCTACGTGTTTATGTTTTCTAGTATTCTATCAGTAGGCTCAGCGTGTGTGACTACTTTGTGTTCATACATAAATATTAAAAGAAAGCTTGTGTGCTCTCATCAGGATAGGGGTTTGTGTTGGGGTATGGTATTGTAGCTCATAGGTTTATACTATTAACAGGTAATGTGACGAGCATCCGCTTTCTGGGATTTCCTTACCTGGATTAATCCGATTATTAAGTGATGAATCCTACTTCCGGGCCTAAAGTAGTCTGCATTTAATATGGCTTTTGTGTTGTTAACATGTTTAATGTTATGTATTTTCTTCTATTTAATCTCAAAAAGCTCCTAAAAAAAAAGTCAGTGATCACCGTTGACCTCCCTCGGCTTTTATTACCGCTAATCATTTATTTAAGCTCAGTTTTTAAAACCTTACGATGTAACTACAGCACAGCCCATGCATGTATATGAATGACTAACCTCGTATTGTGGATGGATTATCTCAGTTGTTCTCCTGGCTGAAGTTTGGTCCTTTTACAGCATCCTGCCATGCGATTACATTTGTTCCTGACCACTGAGAACACTCACGTTAACTTTTATCGAGTGGAAAAAAAGTTAGCTTGTTTATATTTTGCTAACATAGCTGTGTCGCTAGCGGTCACGTAGCACATCATTATACACCAGCTAGCCAAACTTCAGTAACCCTACAAACGTCACTGCTGTTTAGTTTTCTGTCTTCATTTATGTTGGAAGTGATAACAGAGCTGTACATTTTAATTTGTTTCCAAACCGCCACAGTCAGGACATGCTATATTGTATTTAGATGGAAGCTAGCGAGCTAACTTCCTGCTGACTTCTAACTCCGTTAAATGTCATAAATTCCGTTTTCATGGATGCCTGGATGTTAAACTCAGTTGTTACACCTGGTAGAGCAGAACGCTGATCATTTCATTAAAGATGAAAGACTTTAGACAGTTTTTCAACTCTCAGTAATGCCACAGTGATCATTTGATATATGGACCTGCAGCAGAGTGTAGGCCCAGACACGGCTAGTGACGTCAGACTGAACGATCGGATGAGCACACATCAACTTATAGCACAGCGATAAAATTTGGATTTTGCTGATTTGTCATCATTTTTCAAACTTACACTTCCTCAAACCAGGTTTTAACCACTGCTGTCCACCATGGTCGAGCCTGGAGAAAGAAACACAGTAACAATGATTTTCTATTCAACATGAGATCTAACTGTTGCACATGAAGCACCAGAGTTTTCCCTGTTCTTCCAAGTTTGACCCAGTTACATTAGGTAGTTATCTTTTATTTGTTCCTTATATCTAATATTTGTAAGTACATTGTTGTTCTAAATCATCTAAGAAAATTATCAGTGTAAGCCAAGACTACTGACAGTGTTCAGTAATGCCTGTACTACTGGAGCACAAAATGGTTTTTTTTAATATGGACAGCAGCTATCCACCAATAATGCTGCTAAAACTGGGATGCTGCTAAAAGAATCCAAGTCCGCCCAGACTGGAATGTGTGCAAACCAGTTAAACCCTCCAATATGTGAAATATTGTCACTGGAAATTAAAATTTGGGTTTGTTCTAGCTAAAATTCAGAAATACCCAAAATGAGCTCTTCTTTATGATGATGCTCTGAGCAAAAACACATTAAATCAGCAAACAATTAGCCAAAATAGTACTAAATGAGTAGCCATGCCCTGTCCATACCTGAGTTTCCAGTGTGGATCCTTGAGTCCCTGCCTCACTTTCAATTTTCCTGGATGATTGTAGCGAAGGTCAAGCACTTTCAAGTGGGAATGATTTGAGCTCAGAGCTGACGTCAGGAAAGTACAACCTTCCTCTGTGATTAGGCAGCCTGACAGGCTGGAAGAAGAAAAATGCCACAAAATGCCACAAAATTCAAGACGTTAAAGGACAATCATACAATTAGAGAATAGAAGAATCAAACAGAACTCAGAACTGTCTGTAACTGTTGAATGACTGCCATCCTGACCTCAGAGTTTCCAGTTTACAATTTGGACTCATCAGACCAGCAGAAAGAAGTTTAACTCCTGAATCTTGCAGGTTGTTGTTACTCAGGTCTAGTTCTTCCAGAATACATGTTTCTGAGCTTAGAACCGAGGACAGAGCTTTGCAGGTTCTCTCTGACAGGTTACAACAACTCAACCTGAAAAACAACTAAAAATGAGCCGCTTTGTTCTATAAAAAGTTGTTGTTTTATTCATAAATCCACTTACAGGGCTTTCTTGGCGACTTTGACCACAGGCAGCAGCCCCAGAAGAGCCTCCTCTGATGCAGAGTATTTCTTCAGGTCAAACACATCCAGATCTTCTTCTGAACAAAGCAAGACAAATACCAGAGCTGACCACTGAGTAGGAAACAGTTTATCTGTGGAGAGACTTCCTGAACTGAGGAGCAGTTGGATCTCCTGCACTAGAGAACGATCATTCAGTTCATTCAGACAGTGGAACAGATTGATCATTTTTTCTGCAGACAGATTCTTTCTGAGCTTCTTCTTGATGTAGTGGACTGTTTCATGATTAGACTGTGAACTACTTCCTGTCTGTGTCAGAAGGACTCGTAGAGTGGTCTGATTGGTCTGCAGTGAAAGACCCAGGAGGAAGCGGAGGAACAAGTCCAGGTGACCATTTGGACTCTGTAAGGCCTTATCCACAGCACTCTGGTGGAGATCTTTCAGTTTAGGTTTGTCTTTAAATACTTTGGACATCTTAGATATTGTTTGCTGTTTCTCCAGTAGATTTACTCCAGAGTTGATGAAGGTCAGATGGACATGAAGAGCAGCCAAAAACTCCTGAACACTCAGATGGATGAAGCAGAACACATTCCCCTGATACAGTCCTCTCTCCTCTTTAAAGATCTGTGTGAACACTCCTGAGTACACTGAGTTTCCTCTGATATTGATGCCACACTCTGTCAGGTCTGATTCATAGAAGATCAGATTTCCTTTCTGCAGCTGATCAAAAGCCAGTTTTCCCAGAGACTTGATCATCTTCTTGCTCTCTGGACTCCAGTATGGATCTGTCTCAGTGCCTCCATTATATTTGATCTTCTTCACTTTGGCCTGGACCAACAGAAAGTAGATGTACATCTCAGTCAGGGTCTTGGGCAGCGGTCCTCCCTCTCTGGTTTTCAGCACATCCTCCAGAACTATAGCGGTGATCCAGCAGAAGACTGGAATGTGGCACATGATGTGGAGGCTTCGAGATATCTTGATGTGGGAGATGATCTTGTTGGCCTGCTTCTTATCTTTGAATCTCTTCCTGAAGTAGTCGTCCTTCTGTGGGTCAGTGAATCCATTGAGCTCTGTCACCATGCCAACATACTCAGGAGGGATCTGATTGACTGCTGCAGGTCGTGTGGTTATCCAGATGTGGGCAGATGGAAGGAGTTTCCCCCTGATGAGGTTTATCAGCAGCACATCTACTGAGGTGTGCTCTGTAACATCAGTCAGAATTGTAGTTTTGTGGAAGTCCAGAGGAAGTTGACACTCATCCAGACCATCAAAGATGAACACAACCTGGAAGTCTTCAAAGCTGCAGATTCCTGCTTCTTTGGTTTCAGTAAAGAAGTGATGAACAAGTTCCACCAAGCTGAACTTTTTCTCTTTCAGCACATTCAGCTCTCTGAAAGTGAATGGAAACATGAACTGAATGTCCTGGTTGGCTTTGTCTTCAGCCCAGTCCAGAGTGAACTTCTGTGTTAAGACTGTTTTCCCAATGCCAGCCACTCCCTTTGTCAGCACTGTTCTGATTGGTTTATCTTTAACAGATGAGGCTTTAAAGATGTCTTCTTGTCTGATTGTAGTTTCTGGTCTGTCTGGTTTCCTGGATGCTGTTTCAATTTGTCTGACCTCATATTCATCACTGACCCCTGCAGTCCCTCCATCTGTGATGAAGAGCTCTGTGTAGATCTGATTCAGAAGGGTTGGGTTTCCTGTTTTAGCAATCTCCTCTAACACACACTGGAACTTCTTTTTCAGGTTAGACTTGAGTTCATGTTGGCACCCTGGAGCACGGGTCCCTGAAGGATCACAAAATCATGTTATTTTTACAATAAGTTAATGCGATCAGATAAATGAAAAATAAAGCAATAAAACAGCCTCTCAGGAGGAGTTAAATGGTGCAGATGTTTTGCATCATATTAAAGATGAGCTGAGGTTTGAAATACAAACTTCCAGAACTTCCACATCATGTCAAAGCTAATAAAAGATTCTTACTGCTCTGAAGATGGTCAGCCAGCTTCCTCTGCTTCATTCTCCTCAGGAAGTGGAGTGTGATCTTCAGAAATGCTACTCTGCTACTCTTCCTTTGCTCTTCGTCCTCATTCTCCAACATCTCATCATTCTCCCTCAGACTCTCTAAGCATTCTGGGTAATCTGCACTCAAAACTTTCTGGATCTTCCTCAGCTCGGTCTTTACAAAATTGACCATTTTTATCTCCAGTAACTGAAAAAGGAAATAATAAGAACCTATAAGCTGATTGCTAAAACTGTTTAGTGTCCAATTAGCACACGAAATGCATCCTTCCATGTCATTGATACAGCATTAATTGGTCTCACCATGAATATGGCATCCAGGTCTGTTTGATGCTGAACGACAGACTGACCACTGGGAACCTCTGAGCTCTGCTGGGTAACCCTGTGAGAACATTCAGTTTTAGGAAGTGTACAGTAAAGGTGCACTCTGTATTTAATGTGAATGTTGGGTTTATGTTTTATTATTGTCATTTGTGCATAGAAATTTATAATCATTTATGCTTAGAAGTATATAAATGTTTGTAGATTGATAGAGGTTTGATCCTTAGCAGTCTGTAAAGACTCTGTGTGCCTTCCAGAGTGTTCTGGCATGCACACACACACCCTAAGGTCATGAGAGAGGTCATACCTTCTCTTTCTGATTTATACTATATGAGGACACCTACTCTGTATCTGCTTAAGTATAAGAGCCCTTTGTTTAGGTGGACCACTGCGCTCCTAGCACCAGCTTTGGGGAGTCGTTCACAGGGTCACATCTTGACTATGGGCTCAAATTGTGGCCATAAATATTTTGTACTTGTAAATCAGTTTTGTACTTGTAAATCAGGATTTGTATGTGTAAAAAGAATTTATGTGTGTGTAAAAAAAATTTGTATGTGTAAAAAGAATTTGTGTGTGTAAAAAAGATTTGTATGTGTAAAATGAACTTGTGTGTATGTAAAAAAGATTTGTGTGTGGACTTCGCCAAAAAATACGTGTGAAACTCTGCACTCAAGTTTCAAGTTACAAGTACAAATTCTGACCCCATTTTTCTTCCTTTCAGCTGATTGGCCAATGTCATGTTAATCACAAACTTAACTATCCAATCAGAGAATAGATGGGTTTGGCTGTCGGAGGGGAGCTTTTTTGAACCACAGGTCCTTGAAGGGTAATACAGTTTGAAGCTGGAGGATCTCTATATAAATATCCGATAGAAGCTAGGTCCCCTAACTTTCAGTAGCTGTTGAAAGGATAAATTTTTGGTATATCAGTGGTTAGAAATACCATCATTACTTTAGGATTAGTTTAACACAAAGTCAGGGCTGACCCGGGAGCATTGCTGTGAGTCACAGTGCGCAGCATAAAGCTCCTTTCACATTGGACGCAGCATGTGCTGCTAATGCTAACTGCTAACTAAAAGCCAAGGATCCAGAATTTGTTGTGCTGGCTGCTGAGCTCTGTGGGTTTTTGCGGCATCTGTACTAGATGCACCTGCTCCTTGTCGTTTCTATCTTTGACTTTATGTCCTCTACAAGCGTTTCTGTTTTTTTTGCTGGTTCTTCAAATGTTCAATAAAAACATGTATGCTCATTCATAACGAAGAAAGCTTTGTAACTATCCCCACTAGTGGAGACTGTGTCATTTCCACAACACTGCCCCCCGAGGTCCACAGCACTGTTGAAAAGTCTCTGGAGGTCCCTGTATTAAGCACATAAATCTGTGACACAAAAATCACAAAACTCGGACCACCACAGACTGTTTCCCTTCCTGATGATGAAGGAAAACGCTGGGCTGGCATGTAAAAGGGCATTTATTTCCTTCAAGGACCTGAAGCTCCATAAAGCACCCCTCCAATAGCCAAACCCATCTGTTCTCTGATTGGATAGTTAAATTTGTGATTGACATGACATTGGCCAATCAGCTGAAAGGAAGAAAAATAGGGTCAAAATTCATACTTGTAACTTGAAACTTGAGTGCAGAGTTTCACACGTATTTTTTGGCGAAGTCCACACACAAATCTTTTTTACATACATACAAATTCTTTTTACACATACAAATCCTGACTTACAAGTACAAAATATTTATGACCACAATTTGAGCCCATACTTGACCCCCCCTCACACACACACGCGCATGCCTATACATACACACAGACATGGTACTCGTTGTTCACATGTATGCCTGTGTAAAACTTCATATGTTAATGAACTTATGCATAGTCATGTAACTGTAATAAAGAGCAGTGTTACGAGGGGGCAGACGAGAGCAACTGGGTCAAGCGAAGGAACGACGCTCGTCACAGTTCTCTCCCTCGTGCATGAGTAAGACAAAGAACTTTGGTGAGTTGCGTCTTGCTTTTGCTGTTGTAGTAGAATTGTCTCGTTCCAGCAGTAGGTCTGTGCTAGACAGACCCAACAGTGAATATCATGGCTGTATGTGATTATGCTGAAGAACAACGTTTGCATGCTGTTTGCTCCTCCAGGTGGCATCACTGTGGGCAGGTGACCAACTGCCCTTGTTTTCACCTACTTCTGATCCAAACTCTGATCACAGACGCTGAGAGCAGTGATACATCCATGGAGCTGGATGTGAACAGGCTGTGTCAGAAAGTCTCCTTATATTTCAGCTGCATTGTTATAACAGTAGTGGTAATTAATACATCAATAAATTTTCCTAAGGGCATTTTTCCATAAGTGCCTGGGAGTAGCGTTTTCCAGCAGTGTGCTTTCCTGTGCAAACGTGAGTCAGACCGTTTTGGGTCCCTAGGTTGACCAGTGTAAGTTTTTTTTTTTTTTAAATTTGCCCCTGCAAAAAAAATAACGATCAATCAAAATGAATGTTGGTGCCAATCTTTGGACCATCTAAAGGCCTAATTATAATAACAATCAAATATTACTTAAGTCTTTTGTTTTTTTTGGCTAAAAAAATGGTGCGCTCATGTAAAGAAACTGGGATTTAAAGGGTTAAAACCCCCGAAATATAATTAAAACTTGATATGAATATTTTAGGCAGAAGTAGTTTTAAAAGACTGACTCATTTAAAGTGGAAAAAAATATTAATATATAACATTTTTATCGCACTTTTTGGGGCAGGACCATTTTGGGTCCCTTGGGTGACCAGTGTAAGTTTTTTAAATGATGACACAAGGGAGGGTTTTACATTAGGAGTAGCACATTATAGGTTAGGACAACAGAACAAAAACAAGACAACAGAACAACAAAAATACAGAGGCAGGTACATGATATGGAGTGTGTTTGGAGATTTGATTGATATTGGTAGACGCATGTAACTTACCACCGTAGCCTTTGATACTGGTCGGATTTGTGTATAGCAGTTAGATTATTTGGCCACTAGAGGGCTCTGTTGAACACCTAATTGCTGATCTTTACTAATTTTGAGATATTAGGCCTTTTCTGTTGTTTTGGATATGCAGATATTCCTGCTTTCTACCTGTTTAAAATGGCACTGTGAGATTTTCCTAAGCCAGAGCATTTATTTAATCATTTATGTTGTAATTCATTATTGGTGTGTGATGTTGAAAAGCAATGATTGTTATTCTCCCTGTTTTCTTGTTATTTAAAACCACACACATACGCACTCCCATACTCTCATTGAGTATACCAATTGGTGTACTACTGGCCTGCTGTTAATGTTCATTAAAGTATCTGGAAAGCACTCCCTGAGCCCACTCTCTGACTGGTCCCTCAGTCTTTGTCCTGAGGGAGCTATCACATCAGCATCTCAGAGATAACTCTCTAACAGGCTGTCTGTGACATGTTGTTTGGTAAACTGAGTAGCTTACGTCATTTCTGTGGAGGTGAGGTAGCTATATACATTGTTGTAATTTTTTTTTAACTTGAACTTTAATTGTTCTAGTTATACAGCATAAAGAGGACATAGTGTATTACACACTCACAAGGTAACTCACATTTCTCCAGATGATGCTTGGCCATTAAAAGCCAAAGCTGAGTGCACAGACATTGAGCTGGTTACAGGAGAGACTGCTGTTTGCTGCTGGAGCCTGACAGAAACAAAACCAGAATCAGACTGTAGATATTTGTCACACATCCTGAGTTTTGTGGCATTTTGTATGTTTTAGTTGTTGAGTATTTTTGTTCCAGCAAAAAAAAAGCTGTGTCTTTTCAGTTCAACTCTCAACTCTTCAATCTCTGGCTGTGTGTGGGTCTACCTGGCACACAGCCAGAGATGACAACTGACATTTCAAAATAAATCATTACATCAAGTAGAAACTTGAAGAGTAGGTACTTAGGTTTAAAAGATACTTGTAAATCTAGGTTAATTCAGACAGTTGGTAGTTATTAGTTCAGTATTTTGTGTAAGCTCATCTAAAGGGAGGACCCGGATTTGCAGCCGTGCAGCTGCAGTGTAGCCTGTCATTCAGCCTGTGTACTGAAGGACCTGTTCTGTCCAGTCAACATACACTGTTAGATCGGCATACACTTTGATTTTATGAGCTGTATGAAACCCTGACTTGTCGTCTCTACGCTGAGATGACGGAGCGCCCCGGCTGTCAGACTTTAGTCTTTCCAGTATGTAATCCTCTCTTCTCACTTGCTTCCCAGTTACCCAGTTCAGTTCAAAATTGGTCAATTACCTGTGCCTCCTCTGCAATCAGCTCAACACTGTGGAAACAAAGACCTGGCTGCCCACCTTCAGCTCCTCCAACATGATCATCATCCACTCTAGCAAGTAAGGCCTCAGAGAGCTTTAACTGTCTGCCTTCACAAATCATCATAATCAGCTGGACAGTCCTAATAATCTGATTCTTTCCTCCTGAGTTTGCCTAATGGAAAAGACCCTGGTTCTACAGGGTTAGGGTTCAATTGAAATATATTTACACAGCGCCAAATCACAACAACACCTACCTCAAAGGACAAAGGCAGGACAAAGACACGCTGTGGAAGAGAGCCAGAGATTAATAATAGCTAATGATTAATTATTGTCAATGAGCTAATGCTTTGTCAGAATAAACTCTTATCTGTGGTCTGAGTACGATCTTTGGGTCACTGACAAACTTACTCTGTTTCAGACCAAGGCAAAGAGTGTCCACTCACGAGGGACACACCCCTGGGTCCAGGTCCAGGTTTTGTTTCTGGTCCAGGTTCAGGTCCAGCTTCTGTTTCTGTTTCTGGTTCAGGATATTTAGATCTGTTCTGTTGCTGTGTACTTTAATACACACACACACACGCATGTGCGCGCGCACGCACACACACCCGCACACACGCACACACACACACACACACCACACACACACACACACACACACACACACACACACACACACACACAGCTTTGAGTCCGGATAATGATGGAGCAGTGATGTGAGTACTGAGTTGTGACCTGGAGAAGAGTCCTGACAGTCAGAGATGGTCCTCTCACCTCTGGCTCTCATGTTCCCCACACAGAGTGGATTTAGAGGCAGGGGCTCTCTTCTCTCTGTGCTCACACTGATCCATAACAGAGGCCCCACCTTCACACGGACACAACAAACTCAGTCAGCACAACATCCTTTACATCGTCATATTTGTGTGCTGTTTAAATGTTGCAGAGGATGGACAAAGTCATCATTTAATTCTGGATGTCTTATAGCGTTGATGGATTTACAATAATCCCCACATTGCATGTAATTCCCCAAAATGTGTTTGATGCAAAAACATGCAAGCATCTGTTTCTTACACAGTCAGGATTTAACATGTGACCATTTCACAATTCAAATACTGTAAAATAAAAATGCGGGTAGATTTACTTTGGTGTTTATTTTTTTGTTCTTTGGTTATTTTTTCATGTTGCCCACATTATCTGATAAAGCGGTATAAGAACAACACACAGTGAAAAAGTCAGAACTTTTCAGAGACTAATTAAAACTCGGAAACCCGTCCTTTACAGAGCTACTGAGACTCTGCTGTGGATCTAAACTGTGGTCTGTGAAAAATACACCTGTACTGTCGACAGGTTTGATATTGAACTGTGTGTGCCAGAGGTGCACATCCAATCCTGATGAAAACCTCTGAATCCTGGTCTTGTCTTTAACTTCTTCCATAGAGATGACCTCCCTGTACCTTTAATAATAGGTTTTGACACACCAGTATAGAAATAAATAAAGATGCGGTTTCTGGGTTTTTTCTAAGGGTAGCTGCACAGACAGAGGTTACCCTCACTGATACTAATACAAATCCATTCACTGTGTCCTATAACATATGATCAAGGCTTACTTGCTATAAAACAGACTAAGATGAGAACTAAGGGTGATAGAGCTTTTGCCACTGTGGCCCCTAGACTGTGGAACTCTCTCCCCCAAACCTTAAGAACTCTGGACTCAGTAGCTGTTTTTAAAAAACAACTCAAAACTCACCTTTTAAAAAAGCTTTTGGTTAATTTTTGCCTGTTTTATATTGTCTGTTTTACTTTTTTATGACTTTTTATCTTATGTGGAGCACTTTGTGACTCTGTCTAGAAAGGTGCTATATAAATAAAATTTTATATTTTATATTATTATTTTCCAGGTCGTTTCCAGGACATGTGGAACAAAAAGGCCTTCAGTGCATCCAAGTCTGTTATAAGACAACTCAACTCTGAGAATTTATTCTTAGAAAATAAGTTTAAGCTGCTCTAAAGTGTCAAACCAGTTCAGACATTCCCGGCATTTTTCACCACTGACTCAAACTCAGACTACAGTCCACAACAACCACCACCAAAATACACACCCCTGATTCTGAAATCAGTGTTCTCAGATTCAGATTCTTCACTGGATTAATACTGACGAGCCCACACAGCCAGTCAGCATTAGGAAGCACTCGTGCCGTACAGTGAGAGTGATCCACAGACGTGTTCACATTTCTCTGGAAGGATTCTCACCTGCTGAACTCACCTCAGGTCAGCTTCCAGGCACTTCACAGCTTCCTGTGTGGACAAAACATCAGGGGAGAAGCAGCTGCTTGTTCTCCTCGTCAGTCCTGGAGTCTGTGAGTGTTTGATCTTAACACAGTGTCACATGCTCATAACCTCAGAGAGACATCAGATGTCAAAACCAGTCTAACCTGTGAGGAAAGACCCGGTCAGTGTCAGAGAGCACACACATCAGATGATGTAAGTCAGTGGTCTCTCCAGCAGATGGAGCTAACTGATGATCTGATGAGTTTTGATGGAGCAGCAGCAGTTTGGATTCACAAGTAGAAATATTCTGCGGAAATAGCCAGTCAGCATCAGAGTAAAGTGACAGGTAGTCAGAGAGGGTGAGGACCACAGTCAACATTTCCTCTTCTTTACTTTCTCCAGTGTATGCTCCAGTGAGCATCTAGACTGGATTAAATACATTTTAGACATGAAGTTGAAAGATGTCATGGACTAACTCACCACTAGAGGTCTCTCTGTCTCCCTGTATGACTAACATGATGAGGGCCTCTAAAGTGTGAACCTCGCCCTGTGACAGACTGTCCAAGACGTCTGAGCTCCAGCGTTTGTGACTGAAAATCACAGGTTTTGATTGGGTGTTACTGAGCACTGATTAGCAGGCATGTATTGTTCTCTATAACCTAGAGAATATGGATTTGATCAACTGGTCCCTATGTTTTCATTTTGGCATACTGTATAAACACAACTGATCTAAAATCAGACAAAAACATAGCAGAAAAAGTTATATTTTTTACTGTAACAATCACAAACTACACACTCCAAACACGCTAAATGTCACAAATCTCTCACATATCAGAACTCGCTCTCTCTCTTTTTTCTGCTCTCTTTCTTTCTCTCTTTCTTTCTCTCTCACACACTCCTAAAACTTCCCCCTCTTCCTAAACAACCAAATGTCATGTTGCCATATCATTTTTTGATTGGTCGACGTGGTACATATTTCCACCAACACAAAAGGGGTATTTTTTGTTTTGTTTTTTTTTATTTTTTGGTCATGAGCAGAGAGTGCTTGCTTGCTCTGTCCTTAGACAGTAAACGTGACGAAAGTATTCAGGAAAAAACACACGTATATATTGTTTATCATTGTTTATCTGGTTTTACGTGGCCTATCAACACAATTTAAAAGCTGGTATATAGCACCTTGTTGCTTTGTCATCTTGAAGTGGCAATCGTGGCTCAAGAGTTGGCCTTGTAATCGGAAGGTTGCTGGTTCAAGCCCCGGCTTGGACAGTCTCGGTCGTTGTGTCCTTGGGCGAGACACTTCCCTCGTTGCCTACTGGTGGTGGTCAGAGGGCCCGGTGGCGCCAGTGTCCGGCAGCCTCGCCTCTGTCAGTGCGCCCCAGGGTGGCTGTGGCTACAATGCAGCTTGCCATCACCAGTGTGTGAATGTGTGCGTGAATGGGTGGATGACTGGATGTGTAAAGCGCTTTGGGGTCCTTAGGGACTAGTAAAGCACTATATAAATACAGGCCATTTACCATGTGATTGGTTTACCACGACTACTTTATTCTTCCTCAGCCAAACAGCAGCACTCATGTGATTGTTTTGCCCCCTAGCTCCAGGTGTTGTGCGCGCAGCTACTTAAAGCTGTAGCGCTCAGATTACTTACGTAGCTGAACACAGCTTCAACCGTCTGTTTGTTGAAAAATAGTAACGCAACGGCACCACATTTTTTTGTTAGTGGCGGTAACGGCGTTGTAGCGATAGAAATAGTAATTAGTTAGGTTACTGAAAAAAGTAACACCATTAGTAACGCCATTACTTATAACGCCATTACTCCCATCATTGGGAGGGACGTTTCCTGCCGGATACACAATGGAAGAGTGGCAGAAGTGACAATTTGTGTGCCAGGCAGGACTGTCAATTGAGGACATATAAGATTTATACCTACAGGCAGTGGCGGTCCTAGCCTGTTTGGCGCCCTGGGTGAACACTCCCTGTGGAGCTCCTGATGGCTTTGAACTTTTCTTGTCCATCTTCCATTGGTTTTCATTTTGCACTCCAGTATGAACACCCATCCCCTAACGCGAGGTTGACCACAACATAACCTAATAAGCCTACACCTTAGTTCACAGATATACATTGTCTAGGGTTTATTTCTGGGATTTCGCACAACCCAGGATTCAAATCATGACTACATAATGGATTTGGATTTACAACATTATGAATGAAATGTTCAAGTTCAAGTTCAAATTTTATTCGCCACATGCAGTGGCAGGTTGCCCTGCAGTGGAATGAAATGTGCTCTATTTGGAAGCAGCCACCCCCCCCCCCCCCCCGCCCCCTCGTCTTTCAACAGGTTGTGTGTGAGACTTTAAATCATCAAACTGTAAAATCTAAATTTTAAATTGTTATTGATCCCTTGTGTATATTTTTTTCTTACTCTTCTTATATTTATTGTTTGTTTACTTGCATTGCTGTAACTGGAGCCCTGTCGTCTTGTCTCTCTATATACTGTACTGTATGTAGCGGAGATGACAATAAAGTGCAGGTGCACCAAGGGCTCTCGCGCTCACTTTTCGCATACAGAATTTAGAAAAAACATCAGTGCAAATTTTAAGTCTGTATCATTATGTCTGGTGTTTTCGTGTTTGTTGGCTTGTTTTTATTTTCTTTTATTTTGTGAGTTGGTTATTAGATGCTGCTCCAGCCAGCCAGAAAATCACCCGCAACCCCGCCCTCTCCTCCCTGTGCCGCAAGCAGCAGGCACACCTCGCAAACGAGGGCGCCCTTACTCCCTGCAAATGCGCGATAGACATTCCCAAAATGTGCTGGCTGACGTCGGGGCAGGTTGAGTACGAGCAAATTATTATTATTTTTTGCCAATGCCCATGATGCCGCCCCCCACCAGTCCAAGTCCAAGTCCAAGTTCAACTTTATTGTCACTTCAACCATATACAGTTCAAAAATACACAGTGAGGCGAAACAACGTTCCTCCAGGAACCAAGGTGCTACAAGACAAGTTAGTGCAAAAAAAAAAATAATATATAATATATCTAGTAATAATATTGTGCAAAAGAGCATTTACAGGTTGGTGTGTGCGATGGTTTGGTGGTGTAGGTCAGTGTGTTTGCCGCCCCGGGCAACCGCCCGTGTCGCCCATATCAAAAACCGCTACTTCCTACAGGACTGTTTAATTTTGCTAAACCGGGTGAATGAAAACTCTCTCAGTTGAACACAGGAAACATATGCACA